ATATTTGGTATTAACAAAAAATTAAAATGGGTAATTAAATATGAAATTATCAGAAATTAACAAGAATTGTCAAAAACGAATGAACATTAAATATTTCCTATTTATTCCTACTATGGCTAACGATAATTTTTGGAAAGAAATAAAGGGAATATGGAAGAAATAGGGGAATATATATAAAATTAGAAAAAAATCGAGGAAAGAATGAAATTGAACATCATTTTAAGGGGAAAAAAAAAATTATATTCGAGATATATGGTATCCCTTAAAAATAAAAATAAATAATTACTACAATCCCAAAATAAACTTAGAAATTGAAAAAAAAAAAAAAAATAATAATTAAATATTTTCCTTTTCCCATTTATTCCCACTAGGGACACAACCACCAAACTAGTCCAGAAACTCGAAAAACATCCAAAACCAATCAAAACCATGTTCAACCAGGGGGTTACTGAGGGGATATTTTTTTAAAGATATTATTCTGATTCTTCTTGATCCAATCTGATTATATTTAAATTTGTGCCCCAGCCCTGCAAGAAGAGAAACCTTTTTCGGCCGTTTGCGCGCAGCTGCTTACGATTATATACTTGCATTTGGCTAGAAATAGACTATATCGGTATCATTTTGATGGATATTATTCCAAATTCCAATATATTTCAATGAATTATTGGAATAGTATGTTGGAATAATATTTTATTATTCTGAGGTATGTTGACGGGGTATCCCCTTAAGGTATCCGTCATTTTAAAGATAGGAAATTATATGAGAGGTAAATTGATGAAATATATCGAAATTAGAGCGAATCTATATATAAATTAAAAATTGGTTGGAATTATATTTTTTAAAATATTTATAATAATTATAGTGATTATCTTATCTATAATTGCTGGATGTAGTATGGTGTAGTGCAGTTGTAGTTGTAGTGTAGTGGAGTTGTAGTTGTAGTGTAGTATAATTAGTGAAATGTACTTGTGGTTGCGGTTGGAATTGTGGTGTGGTATAATATATATAATATAATATAATCTAATATAATATATTATAATATTGTGTATTATAATCTAATTTAATGAAATATTATTTAAAATATATAATATTTATATATAATATATAATAATATATTGAAATATATCTAGTATTATATAATTTATATAATAAAATATAATCAATATAATATAATTAATAAAATATAATTTAAAATAAAATAATATAATATAATATAATATAATATAATAAATT